AATACAGACAGCGAGGTAAAACTGAAGACAGCGAGATGAAACGGAAAACAGCCGGGTAAAAACGGAAGGAAGGAAAAACGGAAGAAAGCAAGGTAAAACGGATGGGAAGAAAAACGTAAAACAGCAAGATAAAACGAAAGACAGTGAGATGTAACGGAAAAGAGCGAAGAACAACAGATGCCAGTGAGGTAAGTCAGAAGACAGTCAGTTAAAACCGAAAACAACGAGGTAAAACTGAAGAGAGCGAGGGGAAATGGAAGATAAAGAGTGAGGTAAAACGGAAGATTGCGAAGTAAGTCGGAAGAAAGCGAGGTAAAACGGAAGACAGGCAGTGAGGTAAAACTGATGACAGCGAGGTAAACGGAATATATCGAGGTAAAACGGAAAACAGACAGAAAGGTTAAACTGATGAGAACGAGGTAAAACGGAAGATAGCTAGGTAAAACGGAAGACACACTGTAAGGTAAAACGGAAGACACACTGTAAGGTAAAACGGAAGACACACTGTAAGGTAAAACGGAAGGCAGCGAGGTGAAACGGAGGACAGCAAGGTAAAACAGAAGACAGCGAGCTGAAACAGAAGACAGACAGCAAGGTAAAACGGAAGAAAGCGAGGTAAAACGTAAGATAGTGATGAAAAACGGAAGACTGACAGCGTGATGAAACGAAACACAAACAGATGACAGACAAGGAAGTAAAATTCTACTACAACCAACTTTACAACTAAGCTGGTTATAAAGCCATTAACAACTGCAGGCCTAATAAAAAAGGAAATGGCACAGCAATATATTACAAAGATACCTTCATCTGCAATGGTGTCATTAGTAATAGAGATGACTATTGTGAATATACCTTTGCCAAGTTTTCCAGTAAATCCATTAAATCCTCCCTGACTATCGGTGCCATCTATAGATTTCCTAATACCAACATAGCTTTATTCTCATACAATGTAAGGAATCTTATCATAAATAACAATCTCAACAAAAATCACATCATTCTAGGAGGTGATTTCAATATTGACCTGGGTCTTCAAAATAACCCTCAAGTTGACTATTTCCGTAACAGCATGAACTCCTGTATGTTAATCCCCACAATCACCAAGTCCACCCGAGTCACTCAAACATCTGCCACTACCTTAGATCACTTATGGACTAATATGACAGCTTCCCTTACATCTGGGGTAATCTATGACAGAACAACTGACCACCATCCTTACTTCTTCATAGCAAACATGGATACAACACCACCAGAAAGCAAGAAACTCTCATTCAGGCTACACAGTGAATCAGCTTTAGGCAATCTCTCTAATGCACTTCACAATATTAACTGGGAATCTGAATTCAATAATACACAGGATATAAACTCCCCGCCAAACACACACCGAAACTACGACGTTGGTACAACGTTCGGACAAGTTTTAACACCTCCTAACCAGTTATAACAACCAATATAGCAAGTTGTAACAACGTTCTAATACGTCATAAACACGTTAAGCCAAGATGTAACAACTTTATTACAAGTTGTAACAAGCGGAAAATAGAGACAGTTTCGGTTTTTGTTTCCAGGGTCATTTACTAACCTCTTTCTCTCCAAAACTCTAAGCCTCTACAACACTCACTGTCCCATCCTTACCAAACAAGTAACTGACAAAAGAATAAACAATCCGTGGCTCACAAGTGGCATACTCAGATCAATCAATAAAAAACATGAATATGAAAAGAAATTTAGGATTGGCCTAGTTACAAAGGAAGTAGTTAAGAGGTACTCATCAGTGCTTTCCAGTATCATAAGAAAAGCTAAACTTTCATATTATGAGACTAGATTCAAAGAAGCAAAAGGCAATATGAAAAGCACATGGAATACCATCTCTAATATCCTAGGAACTAATTAACACTCCCACAACCAGATAACACTCTCTAAGGATGGTTTTACACCGTCAACTGACTTAGTCAGTTGACGGTGTAATTCGAATATAACTCGAATGTAATCATTCGAGTTTGTTTTGATCCAAAAATAGTGAAATTGATGTCAGGTGGCTGGTAGCCGTCAGTTGATCAGGGGCCGCAGTTGGATAGAGGCCGTGAGTCAGTCCGAGTCCAAACTGTTCATCATCAGATCTGACGACTCATCCTGAATCTCACACTGTCAGCATTCTGAGCCTGGCTTGATGATCGCGGTTTTTTGTCGGTTCCTTCCTGATTATGGCTTTCTTAGTGGCTCCGCCCAGGTCATCACTGCAGTGGTAACACCTTTGGTCGTGACTCTATTGGCGACTCCTTCTTATACTGGTCGTGACTCTAGTGTCAACATCTTCCTATACTGGTCGTGGCTCTAGTGGCGACTCCTTCCTATACTGGTCGTGGCTCTAGTGACGACTCCTTCCTATACTGGTCGTGGCTCTAGTGACGACTCCTGTTAGGCATTGCTTTAGTTATGATAAAGTTATTTACACCTTACCTGCCTGTCAAGGCTCTTTTGCGAGATCCTGATAGACGGACTAGATATTAAACTTGATTCCAACATATTATGCTAATATGTCATGCTTTGAATAGCCGAGAAATATGTCACAGTCTGATAAGCTGGCGCCTCCTGACTGCTATGGACACGGACTGCTACCTCACATTATTCAAGGTGAAGGTAATAAGGGATTATCGCAGTGCTTTTGTGCTTTCTGCTATCTTATCAGTTCTGTATATATAAATATTAGGTTATATTTTCGACTGGGCAGCAGAAAGTAACATGATGTTTAACAGTGATAAATTCAAGGTACTCAGGTACGGTAAAAATGTGGACCTTAAATATAATACAAGGTACAAAATGCAATCAAATGTGCCCATAGTAGGAAAACAGCATGTAAAGGATTGGGAATAATGATGTCTGACGATCTAAAGTTTAGGGAGCATAACCAAGCAAATGTGTTAGCCAGAAATATGATTGGATGGATCACGAGAACTTTCAAATGCAAGGATCCCATCACAAAGGTTGTACTCTTCAAATCACTTCTAATCCGTCTTGAGTACTGCTCAGTAGTCACATCCCCTTTCAGAGCAGGAGAGATTGCTGAAATAGAGGGAGTACAGAGAATATATTCCGCATACACATATGCGATAAAGCACCTAAATTATTGAGATCGTCTAAAAGCTCTCCACATGTACTCGCTTGAAAGGAGACGAGAGAAATATCGAATAATATACAAGTGGAGAAAACTGGATAGCCAAGTCCGAAATCTACACAGTAAAATAACATACTGGAGAGAACAATATGAAAGAAAATACAGAATAGAACACGTGAAGAGCAGGCGTGTCATAGGTACAATCAGAGAACACCTGTATAAACATCAGAGGTCTACGTCCTCCCAGCGACTATAAGGAATATTACCGGAACAACCGTGGACATCTTCAAGAGAAAACTGAATACTTTTCTTCAAAGGGTGCCGGACCAACCGGGCTGTGGTGGGTATGTGGGCCTGCGGGCCGCTCCAGCAACAGTCTGTTAGGCCAAATACTCACAAGTCAAGCCTGGCCTTAGACCGGGCTTGAGGAGTAGAAGAACTCCTAGAACCCCATCAAGCAGGACAACAGTGAGGTAAAACGGAAGACAGTGAGGTAAAACAGAAGACAGCGAGGTAAAACGGAAGACGGTAAGGTAAAACAGAAGACAGCGAGGTAAACCAGAAGACAGCGAGGTAAAACAGAAGACAGCGATTTAAACCAGAAGACAGTGAGGTAAAACAGAAGACAGCGAGGTAAAACGGAAGACAAACATCGAAGTAAAACGGAAGACAAACATCGAAGTAAAACGGAAGACAAACATCGAAGTAAAACGGAAGACAAACATCGAAGTAAAACGGAAGAAAGTGAGTTAAAACGGAAGAAAGACAACGAGGTAAAACGGAAGACAAACAATTAGTTAAATGGAAGACAGCGAAGTAAAACGGAAGACAGCAAGGGAAAACGGAACACAGCGAAGGAAAACGAAAGACAGCGAGGTAAAACTAAAGACAGCGTGGTAAAACGTATATCATTCGAGATTGTTTTAATCTCCAAATCGTGAAATTGATGTCAGGTGGCTGGCAGCCGTCTGTTGATCAGGGGCCGCAGTTAGACAGACGCCGTGAGTCAGTCCGGGTCCAAACTGTTTATCATTAGATCTGACAACTTACCCTGAATCTCACACTGTCGGCATCCTGAGCCTGGCTTGATGACCGCGGTTTTTTGTCGGTTTATCCAGATAATGTTTTTTTTAGTGACCCCGCCCAGGTCTTCGCTGCAGTGATAACACCTTTGGTCGTGACTCTTTTGGTGACTCCTTCCTATACTGGTCGTGGCTCTAGTGGTCACTCCTTCCTATACTGGTCGTGGCTCCAGTGGCGAATACTTCCTCTTCTGGTCGTGGCTCTAGCGACGACTCCTTCTTATACTGGTCGTGGCTTTGGTGACGACTCCTTCCTATACTGGTCGTGGCTCTAGTGGCGACTCCTTCCTATACTGGTCGTGGCTCTAGTGGTGACTCCTTCCTATACTGGTCGTGGCTCTAGTGGTGACTCCTTCCTATACTGGTCGTGGCTCTAGTGGTGACTCCTTCCTATACTGGTCGTGGCTATAGTGACGACTCCTTCCTATAATGGTCGTGGCTCTAGTGGCGACTCCTTCTTATACTGGTCGTGACTCTAGTGACGACTCCTGTTAGGCATTGCTTTAGTTATGATAAAGATGCCTTTACCTTACAGGGGCGTCTAACAGCGCTTCGGATTCGTAGTCCTGAGTTTCCAGGTTCGATCCCCGGTGGAGGCGGAGATAAATGGGCAAAATGTTTCTTTCACCCCGATGCCTTTGTTACCTAGCAGTAAATATGTGCTGAGTGACACTGTGTGATGGTGTTCTGAGTAAGGCTGTGTGATGGTATGCTGAGTGAGACTGAGTGATGGTGTGCTGAGTGATGGTGTGCTGAGTGATGGTGTGCTGAGTGATTGTGTGCTGAGTGAGGCTGTGTGATGGTAG